ATCGTGAAACCAGACCATATATAATTTAGGAATGATTAACTTTGGGTTTGAATCTGGAAGATTTTCACTTGATGAATACATGTATGTATATGTACAGTGGTGTGGTATAGCTGCTACATCGTTTAACACATAGACGCATGAAAGCACGAACGCACGAACGCACCCACGCTAGCTTGCTTACCACTCTTTCATTTTGTTAAATATAACTAATATGTCTTACAAGTTCCGCGACCGTCGCATACCAAAGAGCCACTGTGGATATTGTGTCTGATGTTGACGTAAAACCAAATCGCTGTTGGAAGCTGCAACAGAAGGTAGAGTAGGTCCCTGTGAAATGGGAACGTTCAAATATACATTCCAAAGAAGAGGAGGGTTCAGCTGTAAGGTCCCTTTCGTATGAAACTTCGTGGACATGTTAAAATTTTCTAAAATCTATATTTTCATCAACATGTAAGTACATGTGGTAAAATACCAAACTGAGTTTGTGCATGGGTACTTTACCTTTTGGGTAAAATACATTTAAAAACTTTTTTACATCACCTTAGACCGTAAGCTCGGCTGAAAGATTTGCAATTGCTAATACAGAGATATTATATGAAACCACCCGTCACTAACGCCTGGAGTCGTCATCGATGTTCATGTAACACTGTGTATCGTTTATTGTTCATACATTACTTACTTGGTGAAGTCTTTGTAATCTGAGTGCATCACGAGTTCCACTGTGTAGATGTGCGTGGTCCAATCAGAAGGAGGCAATGTAACAGTCTCCACTTCTGAAAAAGTTATTTAAATTGACATGACATAGATAAACGTGTAATATTTATAATACTGAATTTTATGAAGTATCACCAACTTCATCAAAATCAGCCCAGTACGCGTTGTAAGGTTCTGGCCCTTAGGTATGGGTTCGAATCCCTGTTCGGTTGATAATGTTGTGTATGTTGTTACAGCCATACTCGCTGACGTCACCAATGAGGTGAAAGTCAAGAACCTGCATCCTCCCACTTCGTGTCGCAATGTAACTGAGATAATGCTCAAAGTGACGTCGAACTTCACTCACTCACTCACAATATATCAAACAAGCTTTTACCACTGAGAATATTTGAAGTATTTCTGATGACGAAATCCAAAGCGCGTGCTGCCTGTTCCTCCACGGGCCTCATGACGTGTATGTGAGCGAGACTGGCACTGTTTGAAGCTGCGGGCCACACGCTGTATTGGCGCCTGTGGAGGAACATGGTGCCCATCTGAAATAAGTGCTGGATAATGTTATGTGGCAGTGTAAGTCACTGTAGAATAGTGTTGTAATTGTTGTATCACATTGTTTCTGTTAACACGTTCAGCGGAAGGAAATGGTGTTCTAGTTCTATATTTAGATTTGGTTTCAAGAGTAATCTGGAGGTCTGTAGAACAGGACAGGTGAATCCAGCTTGATAGTAAAGACACCTATGTATATAACGTGACAGGCTCTCTCCTCTGTCACCACATATTACATGAAGACCAGCAGTCTGTGAAGATGATATATATCCTACAGTCTGTAGGTCTAATTTGTAAACGTGACCCACATTGCGATATCATCACCGACATTTTTGTCACAAGGAACTACTGCCTTAGATAACATTTCCTTTGTGTGTGTGTGGGGGGGGGCTAAACACTACATTCTATTACGTACAGATTTCTGGGTGGACGTATTGTTTCAATTTCGACATCGTCACTTCAATAGACAATACAAAAACAATCCTAATAAGATCAACCGACCATTATATACTTTTGAGTTACAATTCTATCGACGGGATCTAGGCTGTCTGGATTTGTCTGGCCCACCACAGTATCAAAATATGTCAAATTCTTTCATTCGTCTGAAATATTCTCGGATTAAAATTATGTCAGAATGTACAAAGTCAGTATGGACACACTTCCTGGTTTTAATTCTGCGTGAGGTTATGAGTTCACACCATTGTACTTAACATGCTTGGTGCATTTGAACAACTTACAATATCAAACTGACCATCAGAACCACGTCTGCATGCAAAAGCACCTTTGAGTTGTATATCCCTGTAGATTCCACAGTTCTGAAATGATAAAGATCATGTTATATCGCGTTTTATACAATTGATACAATGTTGTTCTTCATAGCTGAAAATACAATAACACGTGTCAAGATAGCTACAGTGACTACGATTTCTTATTTGATTTCTATTTAAATATATAAACATATCAAGAAATATAGAACACAATTTGAATAAATCATATCTTTGGTTATCTATCATAGCCCCGTGGAGATATTAGCTAATCCACCATTCACACTTTGTTTTCTCAGTAACCTACACACGGAATTTACTTTTATTGGTTCCAAATTATTCTGAACCTGTGAACAAAGTCATGTAAATTTGTGTATGATCACCAACAAAACACAATGGTAATAAATTCTCCACGTATCAAGGAATGAAGAGTTTTCCGGAATTTAACCTTTTGGATATGATGTACTAATTAGAAAATATGAATATATTTTGAGAAAAGTAGGAGCTGATCCTTTGAGGTTTCAATACTCCCCAAGCTAGTAATTCCACTTATCTCAAATACTTTCTGTGAATATAATGGCTGTCTTGTTATTTGGTAGACAGGGATTTGGTACTATATTTGGATCCAGCTATGTACCTCTTTGTACGGATCTTTATCGAGCTTCGGAATCCAGTACAAATACATGTCCTCAGGCCAAGGTAAATTTAAATGTTGATAGTGCTAATGCATGGCGTAGGCAGATTTCTCCCTAAATTAACTTAATGGTATTTATATGCCACTTATACCTGGAGAGGGTCAAATACTGAAGCATTTTATTGGGTCCAAGATCGACAAGGTTTGGTTTGACCTGGCTGAGCTCCCATAAATACTGTGTCGGAGATTGGCAGGGATATAAATCGGCTTTGTGTAAAGAGATTGATGAAAATGGCGATGTGACTATCTTGGGTCGAGGGCGACCCTGGCTCACCTCGTTTCCCGGCTCCCTGCGTGTGGAGGTGTAGTTGACCCCGGTGTTGTGGATGATGTACACGGGCATGTTGACGGAGTTGACGGGACTGAGAGTCAGCCTCATCTCCACGGACCCCTGCAGGGTGTGGAGCATCAGGTGGAGGTCTACGGGCATGTCCCCTGATGACCTCATTGGGCCTGATGTGGTGATCGTTTTCAGCCATGAAAATTCTATAATCATTAAATCCCAAATGCCAGAGACATGTAACACATACATTGAGACATGTCAGAAATGGTGCACGAAAAATGCACAGCGTAAGTAGTAGTAATTTGAAGATGTGAGTGAGTGAGTTTAGTTTTGCGCAGCTTTTAGCAATATTCCAGAGTTGGGGACACCAGAAATGGGCTTCACACATTGTACCCATGTGGGGAATCGAACCCGGGCTTCACACATTGTACCCATGTGGGGAATCGAACCCGGGTCTTCCGCTTAACCACTAGGCTACCCAACAATAATTTGAAGATCTAATTGCTTTAACACATTTAGCCACATGTTTTTGGTTACATGTGTAGGTATTAGCAGATACGTGTATAGAGAATCGGCTACTAGTGGTATTCGACCTACCTTTTATTTCACGTATACTGTCCCCAAAGAACGCTTGTCCAGTCCCCATTACGTACAGGAGGACCAGAACTAACATCCACATTACTGACAGGTGAAAGGAAGATTTGCAAGCGAGAAATCAGAAATTACAAATCAGATTTGGATTTCACGCGTAAATTGCTTTTTCACCTGGAGCAATACAGATACGATGAACATTGTGTGAGTCATTTCTTTGTTTGCGCTAGCTAATCTGTACTAACTGTTTGACGCATATTATACAATTATCGTTTGTAGAACTTGTAACTACTTGTAACACCGGTGGCAAATACAGCGTTATAATTCATACAAAAGAGATAAACTATGGCAACATCATTTGAATATCTGTAAAGTATATCACTGAGTGTTGGAATAAAATAAACAAAATTAATGTCATTAATTTCCATAACGTGATTAGCGCTTTTTGGATAATTTGTTCATTCACCTTGAGAACAAGTGGAGGAATGGTTTGCGAGCACACTTGGGTATAGTGTTTCAAAATGTGAGGAATTAGGTGTTTCTATAATCGAGTGAGAGGATACACCAATGACCACGTCATCACTACCTTCAACCACAGAGAACACGGTGGCAAAAGCATATTGTATTTGTTACCTGTAAGGGAAATAAAGACTTTACTTTAGGGGTATATAGAGAGCATAAAACGTCAACGTCAATTATACAGTTTCAATTATCTTCCGAAACAGATTCCACTCCTAAAAAGACAAAAAAGTGGCAAGTGTATGGTTGAATAGTTGAAACTCGTGATGACGCCTGTTGCCCCGCAGCAGGAAGAAAGGATATTAAGACTGACTGACTGACTGAGTTTTGGTTTTACGCCGCTTTTAGCAATATTCCAGCAATATAACGGCGGGGGACACCAGAAATGGGCTTCACTCATTGTACCCATGTGGAGATTCGAACCCGGGTCTTTGGCGTGACGAGCCAACGCTTTAACCACTAGGCTACCCCACCGCCCCGGATATTAAGAAGATGTGGATGAACAACTTCTTTATTGCAGTGAGAACGACGTATGGGTGTTGGTTCGAACACCGTTATCAAGCAAGTGATGAGGTGTTTGAAAAGCGTTGTGGAATAGTTACCTATAGATCACCTCGAACATTTATTAGATTCATTGCAATTTGTGTGCAAGAGAGGCGTTGAAGATGCCACGTATTCGAGCTTGCACTTGCCTGTTGGAACGTAGTTCGAAACGACTGAAATGTCATAGTATAAAATGCACGTTCTAATTTGGCTTATTTCAGAATATGAAATTTAATGAACAGGAACTGTAACCAGAACATATAAATGGAATATTAATATACATTAGGTGTGCACATTCCCTTCAGGATCCTCTGTATGTCAGTAGAGAACATAACAGCATAACTCATAGTAGGTACAAATACTTTATAACAAGATATATACATCAAAAACAGTAAAACCACTGGGCAGCTGATCATTAGTTTACACTGCATACTGCCCAGTGTTATCACATTGTTCATCAGTGACGTTCATGACGATGTGCGAATGTCCATGTATGGCGGTGGTGACGTCACAGTCTGAATATGGGAAAACGATTGTCTGAATGGAGCCCGTGCAGCACGAGGCAGATGTGGCGGTGTTATATGGCCCCTTTGTGTATATCGAGGCTGATTCTGAAAGTGACAAAGACGTTCACATTAATGTAGGTTACAAGCTGCAACACAATTAGAGGACAATTCATACTTCACTTACTCTTGGATCAGTTAAGAGAAACTAAACATTCCAATGTGCAGCAACGTCTCGAAAAAGATGAAGTATTTCAGTCACTGGTCAAAACATTCGGATCCTTGAAATATGAAATATTGGATCGCAATGAATTATATAACACATTTCTTCTTTACATATGTAACTTATACATAATATGTTGAATAAAATAGGTCTTTAGAGACGTACTGGTAAAAGATAAGAGTAAACAAAATTATGGACGACAGATACTACTAGTTCTATTACGTTCTAGCTTTGTCAACTATGGTGCCTGTTCTTTAAAGGACGCTTAAAACCTAACAGCTTAATGATAGAAAGTGAGCATGTTGATATCAGGTGAACGAACATTCACGGTATCCTACCTGCGTGTATCGCACATCATCCAGGCGGTATTTTCTGAAATACCACAGGATCAGGAACGCCAGGGCGAATGTGATGAGGATTATGACCCCTCCGACCACAAACCCGACGATCACAGGTGGAGTCAACGTGACGTCACACTGACCGGAACCATCTTCACAGTTATCTCCCTTGGTGCAGCGGACAGCGTCAGAGACACATCGTCCATTGAGACACAGGGTCTCTCCATCCGAACATGGGCCTGACAGAAACAAAGACATAATAGTGAGTTTGTTGGGATCTAGGCACAGAGCTGAGCCAGTGAATATGGTTGATTATTACATTTCAGTGTTGAAAACTATCTACATAAAAGCCATAAAAATATCCGAAGGTTCCCTGTTTAATTCCGACCATATCGTAAGCATGTGTTCTTTAATCACCATCAAAGAGCGAAAAGGTGGCAAACTTCACAAACACGTGCAAAGGCAGGTCAATGTCCAAACACATGGTAAATCAGGAGCAAATGGAAATTTTTTTCCTACAAAAGTGTATTGTAATACATTGCTTCAAGAATGCTCAGACTAAACAGAATAGATTCTTAATCTGAATCAGTTCGATATTCGCGGCGCTAATATACGGAAATAATATACAGCAGAAGGATGTGTGTACTGATGCTTCCGTGTCAGTTATCTGTGATTCAAGAACACATGTTCAGATGTTAGCAGAGACTTCTCATTGTGGAAAGATTTACGTGTTTATTTTTGAACTGGTAAGAAAGGGTAGAGGTTTTTTTCGAAGTTATCACATTCTGGTTTGTCAACACCTTATCGTTGTGATATTACGCGCTCGTTACAGAACTCAGTCACGTTAAATATTTCGGAAGTCTAGTATGAAAAAAGTGCTCATCGATGCACTGTCATCCCGTGACATGTTAATATTCAATCATGTGTGCAGGTGTACAGGTGTGCACATGCTGCTTCACCTTCATGGAACGTGGTCACGTACAGCTGGAAGCCTCTGCCGTGGAACTTGGCGCTACTGATGAAGCGAAGGATGACAACGCTGGAGGAGGATGTGTAAGCTTCTCCCGGTGCCTCAACACCGCAGTACCGCCTGCTCTCTGCAACACACACAATGACATAATACCCAGCACGGCACTCGGCGTTAAGTTGGTGAATCTGAGGTGGGTATCCATGCTAAAATGCTAATCCCAGATTAACAGCGCTATAAACCCCACACAAACTAGCCATAGCCATAACCATAACCACAGCGACAGCTACAACATACACACACACACACACGAACACATACATACACACATACACACATACACACACAAAAAACAACCAAACAAACAAAACAAAACAACAACAACAAAAGAAACACACAAAAAACCCAGACTCTATATACCGATATATACAAATACAAACACACGCATACAAATACATACACAAAATACAGAAATACTTGACATGTCCATAATGGTTCCGAGCCTTCTGTAATCAGATAGTTCCGAGTTCCTGGTGTCCTGGGGAGGCCAATAAACAACACTCACCTGAACAATTGTCTCCAGGGGCACATTCGGATATTGTCAAGAAGTCTTCGGGGCACGACACAAAGCTGGCGATGTTGAGGGAGATAAATCTGACGATGACACGATGTTGCGTTTGGGCGATCAGTTTCAAGCTACAGTTGAGTTCAGCAGCGTAAGCATCGGACTTCGTGAGGTTAAGATCCAGTCCACTTGCGTAGTTCTTCAGATGTAGACTCTTGCCACAGATGGTGTCCATATACAGGTAATCTATAAACGATAACACACGATAAGAAATCCTGCAAATAGGAAACACAGACAGCACAAACTTGATACTGAACACATTTACCCTACCTTTAATGAAGCCCAAACGTTACTAAATTATTTTACTTCAACATCCAGCTAGTATTCTGGTTTCTTCTAACACAGATACCAATAACACTGTTTTTGTTTATTTATAGTTCTCAATACTATGAGACTTGTTCCTTTATAAATTTCTTCACCAGTATAATCAATATATGTATGGATGAACTTAAACTGCTTTTCCGCCGCTATTCCGCCGTTGATCCCTAGACGTTGTTTTGACTGGTCATTTACTGGTAGTTAAACTAATTTCAACGGAGTGATTTTGAGCACGCACACACAACGGAGTGAGTCGAAGTGGTCTCCATATTACAGTATCTCATTGCAGGTTTGTATTTCTGTGAAGTGTGATTGATGTAAGTGTGTATGTCTATGTAGCGTGTGTCCGTGGTGTGTATGTGTGTACTGTGTGAGTGTGGTGTGTATGTGTGCACTATGTGAGTGTGGTGTGTATGTGTGCACTGTGTGAGTGTGGTGTGTATGTATGTGTAATGTCTGTCTGTTGCTGGTGTGTATGTGTGCACTGTGTGAGTGTGGTGTGTATGTATGTGTAGTGTCTGTTCCTGGTGTGTATGTGTGCACTGTGTGAGTGTGGTGTGTATGTGTGCACTGTGTGAGTGTGGTGTGTATGTATGTGTATTGTCTGTTTGTGGTGTGTATGTGTGCACTGCGTGAGTGTGGTGTGTATGTGTGCACTGTGTGAGTGTTGTGTGTATATGTGTATTGTCTGTTTGTGCTGTATATGTGTGCACTGCGTGAGTGTGGTGTGTATGTGTGCACTGTGTGTGGTGTGTATGTATGTGTATTGTCTGTTCCTGGTGTGTATGTGTGCACTGTGTGAGTGTGGCGTGTATATGTGCACTGTGTGAGTGTTATGTGTATGTGTGTATTGTCTGTTCGTGGTGTACATGTATATGTGTGCACTGCGTGAGTGTGGTGTGTATGTGTGCACTGTGTGTGGTGTGTATGTGTGCACTGTGTGAGTGTTGTGTGTATGTGTGTATTGTCTGTTCGTGGTGTATATGTGTGCACTGCGTGAGTGTGGTGTGTATGTGTGCACTGTGTGTGTGTGGTGTGTATGTATGTGTATTGTCTGTTCCTGGTGTGTATGTGTGCACTGTGTGAGTGTAGTGTGTATGTGTGTGTATTGTCTGTTCGTGGTGTATATGTGTGCACTGCGTGAGTGTGGTGTGTATGTGTGCACTGTGTGAGTGTTGTGTGTATGTATGTGTATTGTCTGTTCCTGGTGTGTATGTGTGCACTGTGTGAGTGTAGTGTGTATGTGTGCACTGTGTGAGTGTTGTGTGTATGTGTGCACTGTGTGTGTGGTGTTGTATGTGTATTGTCTGTGTCCTGGTGTGTATGTGTGCACTGTGTGAGTGTTGAGTGTATGTGTGCACTATGTGAGTGTTGTGTGTATGTGTGTATTGTCTGTTCGTGGTGTATATGTGTGCACTGCGTGAGTGTGGTGTGTATGTGTGCACTGTGTGTGTGGTGTGTATGTATGTGTATTGTCTGTGTCCTGGTGTGTATGTGTGCACTGTGTGAATGTTGAGTGTATGTGTGCACTATGTGAGTGTTGTGTGTATTGTCTGTTCGTGGTGTATATGTGTGCACTGCGTGAGTGTGGTGTGTATGTGTGCACTGTGTGTGTGGTGTGTATGTATGTGTATTGTCTGTGTCCTGGTGTGTATGTGTGCACTGTGTGAGTGTTGAGTGTATGTGTGCACTGTGTGAGTGTTGTGTGTATGTGTGTATTGTCTGTTCGTGGTGTGTATGTGTGCACTGTGTGAGTGCGCTGTGTATGTGTGAGTGTGGTGTGTATGTGTGCACTGTGTGAGTGTGGTGTGTATGTTTGAGTGTGGTGTGTATGTGTGCACTGTGTGAGTGTGGTGTGTATGTGTGCACTGTGTGAGTGTGGTGTGTATGTGTGAGTGTGGTGTGTATGTTTGAGTGTGGTGTGTATGTGTGCACTGTGAGAGTGTGGTGTGTATGTGTGAGTGTGGTGTGTATGTATGCACTGTGTGAGTGTGGTGTGTATGTGTGAGTGTGGTGTGTATGTGTGCACTGTGTGAGTGTGGTGTGTATTGTGGTTGTGCCTTTACGTCGTCCAGTGCACATATACTACTTTTAATTGGCCTGTCTGGAAATCGTCCGGCCAGTACAATACTACTGTTAGGTGTTCCCCGATAGACACGCGTGAGTACACTCACTCAGTTAACGTTTGTGATAAAAGACAAACATTCGGGGTTTATCCGCACATCTCCGGGCAACCCGAGACACGTCCTACAAATGAGGCGTTTCATTCGGAGTTAGTTTAGCTTGACATACACATGACGCAGTCAGGGCAACACTTCACCTCCGTATACACACCTTGTGGTGATAGTTGTGGGAAACAAGCACATGTATATATCAATTACTGAGCCGACACGGTATACCGCGTACCCATAGGAATGGTATGAAAGCAGGTAGAACATTCAAAAGAATATTCATACACAATAGTGAATTTATACACCGCTTTATCCTGGTGAGGGAAGTAATATAGCAATGAATAGGGTGTTGTGTTGTCGCAAAGAGCCGAACAAGTCGCACGAGCTATTTCAGTTAGTGCATTGCATAGTTTTCTGATATACAAACTAAATCTGATTTTATAAAATATTTCATGTAGATGTCGCTGTTGATATAAGTGTAGCTGATGCCGTGGTGTTTCAGGTAGTGTTGAGAGTAGGCTGTTATTGCTAACACGCTTTACGTCAATAATCCAGTACTGCTTAATCGTCATCCGGTATAACGGACACTTATGTAATAACAAGACATTAATCTCCTCGAAGGTGTAGGGGCATCTTAGCCAGTACAAACAGTCCTTTCAGTAAGTCAGTAACACCCATAAGTATTTGGACTTTGATTTCGCCTTGATAATACATGTGATAATATTTGTCTGATGATGGCATAATGAGCTATAATAATAAGGTAAGCTAAATTACAATCACTGTATGTCAACTGGCGCTGGTTGAATGTATGATAAGAACGTATAAACACTACTCACGTGAAGCTGAATACCCGACCCCGATCACCAATAAAGCGCACAGATGATCCAGCACAGATCTCATGATGCTGGGTACACAAACGTTCCGCTATTAAAGTCCGTACATCAAGTCCAAGCGGTCACTGAGCACGGACATTGTCGTCCCACTGGTCAGTGATATGTGTATCCTAGTTACTGGACCGTGACTGGGTCAGCCTGGCCACAAGGACACGTGAGGACTGTGGAGGTGGACGTCAGGGACTGACAGCCAGCGATGAGGTGGAGGGAGAGTCACGGTGGGTGCTGTAGACACATGGAAGTGGGTCAAGACATGGGTCTCGTCAGCATGGGGGCAATGAGGCAATACAGATACAGTTACCGAGGGTGGATGACAAGCTGTTAGCGTCTAGACGGATGCATGTAACTAGTTATTGGTTGCAATCTTTTGTCATTCAAGATTAAGTGCGAAATTCATTAATAAATTCAAAATTCCGATAGCATATGACTAGTACTATCGGTTATATTTGTATACCATGAACAATATGAGATATGAGGAATAAGTTAGGGAAAATGTTTTAGATAAAACAGTGTTATAGATATATTGAAATTGCATTAAATCGAATTGCGATAGATCCGTATAAAAGAAGCCACCGTAAACTCGACAACACTCTTATTGGGGATAGCGTCGATTTTCCGCGCGCCATTGCTCGATTAACGGACAGTATATTATATTGGAATATGTGTGTTCGAGATGATGAGGTTTTAATTGTATCTACATTTCAACAGAACCGATGTGTATTCAAACACCGAAATGATCATCTTTTAACCTATAACAAATATATTTCGGTTATATATACATTTCCCGTGCAGATAATGCATTCGTGAATGTAATTTGAGATAATACTGAATATATCAAGTTATTAGTGTATTTGCAAATTTATTGGTTTGTTCTCCTAAGTTTTGAAGGGTCTAGTATATCTGTTTGTGTTTGTTTAATTAAATTAAATTAAAGTAATTAAATTCATATTTTAAGGGGTATATGTTTTCTTTAGGAAAAATATTGCTACTTACCGAGGCGACCAGCGGGATCGGGTGGGCAGGCTCGCTGACTTGGTTGACACTTGTCACAGTATGCCTTTTGGGGCGATCGATGCTCATGCTGTCAGTCACTGGGTCGGCTTGTCCAAATTCGTCTAACTGCCATAAAGAAGATATATTGCTGAGTGTTAAACAAAAACTAAAACCCAGGTGTACAACGGAGTATATAGAAAACACTCCCTTACTCAATCCTTCCCAATTCTAAACCACAAACGCGATGTTAACAACCACGGGAGGTGGGGTAGCTTAGTGGTTAAAGCGTTCGGTCGTCACGCCGAAAACCCGGGTTCGATTCCCCACATGGGTACAATGTCTGAAGCCCATTTCTGGTGTCCCTCGCTGGATATTGCTGGAATATTGCTAAAAGCGGCGTGAAACCAAACTCATTCACTCACTGTTAACACAATAGTAAGACATTCCTGTTGGAAATGGGTATTTGTATCGACGCGGAAGGATGCTTGAATACAATGCACAATACATGAACACAGTACACTATTTGCCCTATAAAACAGTATCAAACAATGCATCGGTGTTGTATAACACCATGAACATCCCTTTCTATCCACAACTGCTAATCATTATTACTATCAAGTTTGAAAGCCAGGATATGTGCAACGCAGCAGGGAGTTCTGTTTGAAGCCTTCTCCATCAACGACGTCGTAGGAGGCCGCAGCAGGACGTCATCGCCCACTGTGACCTGCGTGGTTTTGGAAAACCATAAAACATGAAATCAAAGAAATACATTTTTAAGTTTAAATATAAGTGTTCATCTGCCGTCATGGAAATGTGTATCTAACATATAATATGCTGACAGTCAAAGACCCAGAAACGAGTGAAATGAAAGATGGAAATGATGCATTAGATGATTCAAGAACAGAATATTATTATCAGAGAGTAATTAAACACCCAATAACAGAAAAACAACAAATGGTTTCACATGTAGTGAGCGTAAACAACAAGAGCAGTCGCTATCGCCGACGTTCCCCCTGTGACTGGGTACTGAGTAGTCTACAGGGCTACAGCCAATGAGACTCTCAGCCGTCGGGGTCCGTTGTTGATGGTGTCGTTTCCCGCATTTGTCAACATTATAACCACCCTCGTTAGTTTAACAAAAGCAGTTAAGTGTTTCTTCAGAGGGTATGCAGGGTTACATTAAACATTCGCATACGTTTCTGCATTATATTCTCCTGTTACCAACATGACGTTTATCGCAGCAGAGGCACTGGGGTCATTCGTGTTACCCTTTACCGAAATTACAACCATATACATTGCAAGACAGATACCTACAGGCTAGATAGCATTGTGTGTTTACAATTAGTTGAGAAGACATGTTTGTCCCCTACATCACAAAGCCTTGTTCAAATAGATTCGATGCAGGAGGTCTGGCCGGGGGCGAAGTAAACACAAGACTCTCTTTAATGGTCAGGAGAAAGGTCATCCCATTGTCACCTTGCATTAAAGTTTTAACTGATAGGTAGGCGAACGGTGGGTCCATGATACGCTTTGCGATGGACACAATAATCAAAACAACTTTAGCGGCATCGCGATGCTTGTACTTCTATCTGTTGCGTCAATAACACAGTTATGGATCCAAGATTGGACATTTTCTCGTGTGCCTAAAACTGTGTCGTAATGAACGCGCAAGAATCCCGTATTCTGTATATTTGTCGCACTGATGCGCTATGAAAAAATATTTTTCTATGTTTATATTCTAAAGGTCAAAGTGTCTTACATTGTCGCCCTTGGTAACAAGCAAAATGTCTTTTCTAAAGCTCGATAATCGACAATGTGACCATGAACGCTCGTGATTCACCGATAGTCTCTTCTGAATGATGTAATGTTATGTTATAGAGCGTTAGATCGCTCGTCAGTAACTAATTATTAGTCCTGATCCAACATAAATATTTCAGATTTCGAACACCTGCCGTATTGATGATTTGAAATTGGAATTTGAGCTGAAGCAACTCAATAGGACATTGGCTGTCTTAAGAGTGAATGAGTGAGTGAGTGAGTGAGTATGATCTTACGACACTTTTAGCAACATTCAAGGTACATCACGGCGGAGGACACCATAAATGGGCTTCACATATTATACCCATGTGGGGAATCGAACCCGGGTCTTTGGCGTGACGAGCGAATGCTTTAACCACTAGCCTACCCCTCCGTCCGGCTGTCTTAAGATACAAGTGAACAATTGAAGTGAAAATAATAATAATTACATTGCAAATCCAAACTTAAATATTTACTACAGGTTTAAAAATACACGTTAATACTGAGTTAAAAAGACTTGATATTCCTTCGTCATATAAAAGGTAGTGTTTGACGGAAGTTGGAGGGCTACCCACCAGGCAGGCACAGCAGTGAGAGCATGCGCCTGATGGGAGAAACCGCGGGCGACATCAAGCTTCCCAACCAGTTGTGTTACCAAATTTAATTAATCAGAAATCATTGTTCGTCACTTTTACATAGATCAAGATGGGTTGGCAGAGAGGTAAGGATTTATATCGCTGAAAAAGTCATTTATTATGATAATTGGTTTACCCCAGTACTTCGATTTTCTATATTGATACCCCAGAAAACTACCAATGCAATATTGTTTGATTTGATATATTTACATGAATGATAAACAATGCGATCTAAGACATGAGGTGGTTATCTAATTCTTAACATGTTCGATATACAAACTAGTATGTGTATTTTTCACAAGTATTACTGACGAAGCCCGTGTTCACCGATAAATATCTTGTCACAGAACTTACTGTGGTCATCAGGTATCAGCTGTTCTAAAACTGCAAACAATTATATTAAATCTGTTCTTACCCAGTGGTTGACACAGAGAGCTGCAATCTTTAGAATACCTCAAATAACAGAACCTTGTGAAATCGAACTTGTTAACCTCGGTATATCGGAAGTATGATAACACCGTGCCTGTCGGTATTATATCCTCATATCCCCTTGTAAATCATGGGTTTAAATATAACGATAAATACTGATGATAATTGTTATGGATTTACAGCTTCTTTACTCTTTGAAAGGCGACGTTTCGACATAGATTCTAATGTCGTTGTCAAGCAAGTGTTATTATAATCTATGTCGAAACGTCGCCTTTCACAGAATAAAGAAGCTGTATAATCTTAAAAATTATCATCATTCTTCATCACCTCAACTTCTAAAATGCCCATCAAAGACGAAATATACAATCTCATTACAGCAACATACTGATCGGTGTTCACCATATCAATCACTGGATTGTCTGGTGCAGACAATCTACAGATAATTTACAGGCGGCAGTCATATAGCTTGACAGTCATATAGTCATGTAGCTATAATATTCGAAGGTTCGAAGGTTCTAAGGTTTTATTTTCTCAACTTCCACCAAAGTGGTACATGAGTGGAGTGGAAAACAACTTATATACACCCAGATGGCATCGGAGAGATATAATTGAGACAGGATAATGTACAATACAATATACACATATATTCATATATACAAGGATGCCATTAGAGAATGATACAAACATTTAATTACATGTATTTATATCTAAACTTCTATTGATACATTTCATAAATTTTGACAAATCTTTAACATATTTGAGCTTTTTTATTATATTGCTGTGTGCGGTGTTACACTACACACAAACACGTACTATTTATATAAATTTTGCATTACCCACTTCTACTTAACGGCCTTTCAAGACATCCTATGCACTCTATTCACATTTATGTATCCCCCACACCCAGGCTTTCGATCTGTGAGCATGTATTAATGTTGTGATTCAGTGGTCGAGGAGCCTCCCAGTGGACAGCTGGACACAGGGTCACCACCGGGAGAAGTACCGCAGGAAGTGAAACTCCAAAGACATGTGGGACTTGTTGGCGGTATCTCGTTTGTCGTTGGAACCGTCATTGGTAACTTTATTATTGTGTCCGTGAGTGAGTGAGTGTCTGTACGCCACTTTGAACACTATTCTAGTTATGTCACTACGTGGCAGTTTATTGTGGGAGAAATTCAGAAGTGGTCGCAGACTTTTGCCACTTTGGGGGAAGCCTAGTCTGTCTCACAGTGCCTGAACCACATTATTGTCCCCACTACCTAGCCCTCTCTGCAGTGCTAAAGCCCTAAATGAAGCAAGCTTAGATTTCCTTAGGTTCTGAATCTCTGGTCTCCCTGGAGCTCCTTTTCAATTTAAATGGGTTTGTTTGTTACTATCAAAATTATATATATTCAGAGACTAAACCTTGGTCTAGGGGAAACCCAAGACTCATGGTGCTGACATCCGAGAAACATAAACAGAGCGCATCGGGGATTGAACCCATAGTCGCAGAGGATACACCTCTGTATGGGGAATATCACTGTGACGTAATCGACATGAATTCTAGTTCACCGTTTATTTTGGGGTTGTAGTAAAGAACATTGTAGGAGAGCATCATCTCCTGTAAATTGAGCATTGATTACTCAAGGGTAACGTGTCGCATCCGCTAAACAATGTCAACCATTTTGTCAGACCAGTATGAGGTCTTCGCTTGGTGTTTGACTAATGGGACATGCAGAACGTTGAAATTTTGACGCTAATATATTGACTTGCACCATTACGCTCCCGTCTTTGTTCAGGCTAACAATTGACTTGCCTTCGCATGTTTTTGTGACGGATTCCACCAGTGAAGTTAGATACATATTTCTTCGTATCATCACCATATTGTAGTGACTGATCCTTTTAATAGTGTCGGACCTGTAGCAGACCTGATTTATGAAATTTATTTTTTCAATATAGATGTAATTTCAAAGTCTGGTAACTAGCCTGCGCCCAACCTTGTTTCCTCCCCTTTACAAACATTATCCCATTCATTCTAATGTTTAACATAAATGATACAGTTTAACATATTCTTGGGGATGCCTTCATGGGAGTATTTGCTTTAACTCGACTGACTGTATAATCAGTGGGTTGGAAATTTCATTTTGAGGGTTGGTGTTGTATGACAGAATGTGAGACTTCGCTACTTAAGCAAGTTGCAAGTGTTTGTTTTTGTCCAGGTTCTGGTATCTTCATCACACCTCAGGGTGTACTCCAGAACACCGGCTCTGTTGGCCTGTGTATAGTGCTGTGGGCTCTGGGAGGAGTTCTGTCAATGCTGGGTAAGAATGAATACACGGAAATAACATAATATTTACACAGCCCGCTCGTTGCTTGTAATCATATGAGTATGCGAGTTAGATTAAAGGTACATCTTAATATTCACCCGAGACTGATTATATTCTCGCTTTGACGTTTAAACCCCAATATGAATTAATTGTCGTATTTTCGTAAGAATTACAATCCAATGCATAGATTCTGAATTTGATGCACTGCAAGCTACCTTCAAACTTCACCTACATGAATAGCAGTTAACTGTGGAAAATTCATGCATTACCCCATACAACTTGGTGTCCATGACTTATTGCTCCGGGTTTTCGGGTCAAGGTCAACGAGGGTCAAGGACTGTAATAATCCAAACTGTCGAGAGCCATTGGTCAGCTCGTACCACACGTGAAGTGTGCCCCAGATCTGTTCTCCCACGGAGTCAGGGTCCTATAATGGAGTATCAGATAATACAGAAGCACGTATATCCCATTTTGTTGCAGGCGCCCTGACTTACTCCGAGCTGGCGTCAGTTGTCCGCAAATCAGGGGGACAGTATGCGTACTTGAACGAAGCTCTAGGTCCTATTCCGGCATTCCTGGTAGTATGGACGCGGGAGGTTGCTATGAGTCCTTCATCTACAGCAGTCGTCTCCCTTACTTTTGCCGAATATTTTGAGTCAATGTTCGTCGTTTGTGGATCACCAGAGCTACCAAAGAAATTGATTGCGATTCTTCTCATCAGTAAGTATTAGTTTGTGTGTCATGATCATGTTTGAACAAATTCAATGCCTCACAACCATCCTTTGCTATCAGGTACAAATGCTCAATTTGTTTTATCATGCCAACCAATAAGCTGTTAAGTCATCTAATGCGGTTTAATTATGACAACTTAAATTTCTGCCTATCCGCCAAAATATACATGTACAAGGCGGAAAAATCGAAGAAATTTCATTTATACCCCAACACTGAAAATATTGTTCATTCTAACGCCGTCTAAAAATTCTGCAAGTAAACAGAAGACTATAATAATAAATGCATAGATCTGGAAGGTATAACGATTTACCGTTACGTCACCACGCAACTGTCACATCCTGATGTATCGATTTCCCGTTACGTCACCACGCAACTGTCACATCCTGAGGTATCGATTTACCGTTACGTCACCACACAACTGTCACATCCTGATGTATCGATTTTCTAAAAGCTGTAGATTTTAACTGGTGCCCTCCTTATGTCGATAAACCGATACAGTAATAACGAGAGCTGGGGTAGCCAAATGGTTAAAGGGTTGGCTTGTCGCGCCGAAGTCTGAGTTTAATTCCCAACATGTGTACAATAAATATCACGACGTACTACGAATTCACTCCTCGCCCGGAGGTGGCAGAAAAACGAAGAAGGCCGCTAGCCTTATGTTTCCCTGTCTTGTGCTCACCAGCAGTACCATGTACGTATACTCTACTTTGTGTTTGCAGTGACGCTGTCGATCATCAACTGCTTCAGCCCTAAACTGGCAGCCCGTGTCCAGGTTGTGTTCACTGGAGCCAAGCTGCTGGCTCTCCTCGTGATCATTACTGGAGGTGTGGTATGGATGGCCAAAGGTAAGTCTGAATTCAAGGTTCTTAAACTGCTAACACCTTAAGTTTGAAATAATGAGACATCCACCCGGACAGGACATCTTGTGACCTACACTATGTGCTTATGCCTGCATGTCCTTAACATAAAAGTGAAACTGCCAAATACTGAATCAGTTGTTCACGATGAACCTACCCCAACTATAAATAAAACATGGATTCACTGATACAACTGCAAGAGTCATGGTAAAAGAGTAAACACAAGTTGTACAAAAAAATGAATTGAAGCACAATTACACAAAACTGGATTTTAGAAAATGCATCAATATTACCTCACGTCAGTTAAACGTTGAAATTAGTCTTTTGATATCGTTGATAAAATATATTTGGAAATTAAAAAGGTCTTAAAGGAGCATTCGTTCCTGCATTGAATTCCCAATATCAGCATGAGACTTACGACACTGACCCACACTAGAGGAATAATATGTTTATCAAGTATTGTAATTCAGCATAGCATGCATAAGACAAGTAAATAAACTCCAGGGTAAAGTATGCAAAGATTTCTGATATATTACATGTAGTGTTTATTTATATGCCGTTGATGCGGTAGAGTAGCCTAGATGTTAAAGCGTTCGTTAGTCGACCCGGGTTCAATTCCCGACATGGGTACAATGTGTGGAACCCATTTCTGGTGTCCCCCGCCGCCATATTCTGTATATCAAAGCGGCGTAAAACCGTACTCATTCACTTAAATGAAATGTCGTAGTACCTGTTAGATAACCACATTTCTGTAGTCATGAGATCATGGTAACAAGGCTTTTATCTGGTTTATGTGGATGATCCAAGGCATCAGTAACACTGTCGAGGTGTAACAGTTTCTTAATACATATCCGTTGATATAGGCGTGACGTCTGACCTGATGACGGGTTTCAAGGGCACCACCGATTCACCTGCTTCTGTAGCCCTTGCTCTCTACTTCGTGATGTTTTCATACGGCGGCTGGTAAGTACTAACAAGAGGGCATTGCCACATGTACAATCTAACTGACCTCTGTTAGGTTTTGCAAGGACTAATATTTACTTAAACACCTATCCGATACACTCCCCTATTCTGACTTCTACCATCGTGTCGGGCACTATACGCTCCTTGCTTAGTGAACACCCGGTGTCATCAATATTCGATAGTAATTCATGAACACAAAATGTCATGCTCTTGGTAAAGTTAGAAACGTAAAGTGAAGGTTGCTTTTAGCAGAAATCTCTTATGATTATGGAAAACATTTTGTTGCTTTTATATCATAAAAATATACCCAAAAGCATTGAAAACGCACCAGTCTAAATTGTCCATATTTTCACAAAGATGGATTTCAGCATGACAATGATCAATGAGTATGACTAACATGACGTCACAGGGCATGTTTAGTTGAAAAAAATGTTTTAGAAACGAGTTCCTGTTCACAATACAATGTATGAATCTTAACTCCAAAACGCAACAACATGCATCCACTCATGAAAAAAAGCGAATTTCGTTCTGAAATCATGCTGACTGTGACCTTAGAAACAGGTGTATGAGAAACGATTCTCATTGCTTCACTAACAATTGTGAAACGAGGACAGAGATGCTTGGAATAACACCTCAGGAAAGAGAACGTGCACTAGGCATGATCCAGGTTGGCACCAGCAGCAGGGATATTGCTTGACGACTTGGATGTGGCCACTCCACCATAGTTAGGCTTCATAGACAGACAGCACCCGTGACCTTCCACGACCTTGGCAACAACGTGCCACGACGCCATATTGTGTATGACCATGTCCGTGATCGAACGCTGTCGGCTGCCAGGACTGCTGCACTAGTTCAAGGTCGATGTGGGGTCATCAGCGCCGACACCGGGGCTCGCTGTCGGGCTCCATGCTTGAGGTTATTACATTGGACCAATTCTTACAGACACCGTAATGAACGTATACAACGGGCTAACAGGCATTTTCAGTGGAGATTACAACAACGGCATGGTGTGGTATTCACTGACGAGTCAAGTTTTCATCTACGTAATGCTGACGGCCGATTACCTGTCTAGCGTAGACGTGGTGAACGTTATGCTGATGAGTGTGGTGGTTCAAACACACCGTTGGGGTGGTGGGGGTGTCATGGTATGGGGTGGATAAGTTACAATCAAAGGACTGCCTTCATGTCTGTCAAGGGAGAGTTAGTGCCCTTTACTACCGTGACCAGATTATTCAGAATCAGGTCGTACCATTCTTCAATCACCCCAAGGATGTCCATACCTTCCAGCAGGACAACGCACGGACACATACAACTAGACTTTCCATGCTGTATCTGGCCCAGGAAGACATCTTGGTAATTCACTGGCCAGCAGTGTCGCCAGATGTATCCCCTATTGGTCAACGTCTTTCGCGGCGACAACAGATGCGAAACACCCTGGAACTTGAGGCTGCACTACTGCAGGAGTAGAATGCCATACCCCAGAAGAAGGTTGCTTTTAGCAGAAATCTCTTATGATTATGGAAAACATTTTGTTGCTTTTATATCATAAAAATATACCCAAAAGCATTGAAAACGCACCAGTCTAAATTGTCCATATTTTCACAAAGATGGATTTCAGCATGACAATGATCAATGAGTATGACTAACATGACGTCACAGGGCATGTTTAGTTGAAAAAAATGTTTTAGAAACGAGTTCCTGTTCACAATACAATGTATGAATCTTAACTCCAAAACGCAACAACATGCATCCACTCATGAAAAAAAGCGAATTTCGTTCTGAAATCATGCTGACTGTGACCTTAGAAACAGGTGTATGAGAAACGATTCTCATTGCTTCACTAACAATTGTGAAACGAGGACAGAGATGCTTGGAATAACACCTCAGGAAAGAGAACGTGCACTAGGCATGATCCAGGTTGGCACCAGCAGCAGGGATATTGCTTGACGACTTGGATGTGGCCACTCCACCATAGTTAGGCTTCATAGACAGACAGCACCCGTGACCTTCCACGACCTTGGCAACAACGTGTCACGACGCCATATTGCGTATGACCATGTCCGTGATCGAACACTGTCGGCTGCCAGGACTGCTGCACTAGTTCAAGGTCGACGTGGGGCCATCAGCGCCGACACCGGACTCGCTGTCGGGCTCCATGCTTGAGGTTATTACATTGGACCAATTCTACAGACACCGTAATGAACGTATACAACGGGCTAACAGGCATTTTCAGTGGAGGTTACAACAACGGCATGGTGTGGTAGTCACTGACGAGTCAAGTTTTCACCTACGTAATGCTGACGGCCGATTACCTGTCTAGCGTAGACGTGGTGAACGTTATGCTGATGAGTGTGGTGGTTCAAACAGACCGTTGGGGTGGTGGGGTGTCATGGTATGGGGTGGATAAGTTACAATCAAAGGACTGCCTTCATGTCTGTCAAGGGAGAGTTAGTGCCCTTTACTACCGTGACCAGATTATTCAGAATCAGGTCGTACCATTCTTCAATCACCCCAAGGATGTCCATACCTTCCAGCAGGACAACGCACGGACACATACAACTAGACTTTCCATGCTGTATCTGGCCCAGGAAGACATCTTGGTAATTCACTGGCCAGCAGTGTCGCCAGATGTATCCCCTATTGGTCAACGTCTTTCGCGGCGACAACAGATGCGAAACACCCTGGAACTTGAGGCTGCACTACTGCAGGAGTAGAATGCCATACCCCAGAACACTATTCTGACGCTTATTGACTCAATGAGGAGACGTTGCACTGCATGTGTCAATGCAAATGGCGGTCACACGCGATATTGACTTTTCGATTTGACCCCACATGAGTTTCATCCTTTCTGACTGTGAAACAATTAAATGAATGAACGTGTTTTCTGTGTTGTTGTTTTCGTCAGTCGTCCATCTGTTATTATCCACTAAAAATATCAATTACTTACACGTGCTTTTAGTAATCTCAACTTGTGTAAGTGGTGCGTTTTCAATGCTGGTGAGTATATACAGAATATGCTTGTAATAATATTTATAGCATTAATTTTCATATTACATATATGTTTTGATAATTACCAGTACATAGCATAATTAGACACATTTTAAAGTGAATCGTAAGCTGATGTTGATAGCATAAGAAATGACTATTGTATCTTCTATTTTCAACTGGCCGTTCTATCTCGTTTGTGTTACAGGAACAACGCGAACAATCTACTTGAGGAGGTTGAGAATCCGAGGAGGTAAAGCCCTAAAGAGTGGATTTTGTCAATACAGTTTGTGATGTACACGTACATTGGAATGTGAATAGTGTTAAGGTTGCGTCAGAAAAGTAAGGTCATTTCCAAGGAATGAACTATATCAGAAAATTGTGTGCTAAATTAAATATATCGACAGATGTGTGAGTGAGTATCAATTTATGCCGTTTTTTTCATTGCGGGGACCATGGCTTCGGGAAAAAACGATACAAAGTATTGATTTACTGTAAATAGTCACAGAACCGTTGATCGGATTATATTAAAGCATTGGCGTCATTGGCCAAGCATGACCGGAACAGGAAATCGACACTCATTACAAAGCAACGGTTAGTAACGGTAACAGATTCAAATACTCAGGAGTGCGGTTTACTGTATCGTATACTTTGGAAATGTGGTATAATTTAAAATGTTGTCATTCCACGAAAGGTAAGTCTTCTGTGGACCTGATAGCTCATTGTCCTGGGTGTGATCTTTGCTGGAGCAATTGCAAGTATAAGTACACATTGTGTTTGATCTGTTATAGAAACGTGCCATTGTCCTGGGTGTGATCTTTGCTGGAGCAATTGCAAGTATAAATACACATTGAATTTGGTATGTTATAGAAACGTGCCATTGTCCAGCGTTATCGGGGTCCTGGTGACGGCGTTTGTTTACATCCTGACTAACATATCCTACATCCTGGTCCTGTCTAAGAAGGAACTCTTCAACTCCACTGCAGTAGCAGTAGTAAGTTGTGTCATGTTGTATAATACACATTACATTAAATACAACAATTTTCTTCCTATGATCATAAATTAAGCGTAAGCGTCACAGAATAAGCAGTATCGATATATGTTGACACATATCCCATCGAGCGTAGTAGGTAACATGAATGGATCATTGAAACGAAAACGGTAACCATGTTCTGCTCTTGAGCTATTTTTATGACAGCCACCAATTAAATATTTTTACTCAAAAAGAACGTTATACATACAATTTGGAAATCAGCCAGTGTGGTGAGGATGACGAATGAGACCTCAGGGTCCTTGATTGGCCGTGTACACGTACATATTTCACTTCTTCTAGAGTTGGGGAGACCGGGTGATGGGCGTGGCAGGACTGATCATTCCGATCTCTGTCATGTGTTCAACGTTCGGAGCTCTGAATGGAGGCCTCTTCAGCTCGTCAAGGTAAATAGAAAACCTCCCAACTTCTAAACGAAACATAAGAACCGTTTTTACTTATGATCTTAAATGAGTACCTCAATGCCAGAGAATAACAAGTCTCAATTATCTGCCGATTCATTTTCGCGAGAAAAGCAGTGGTGAATATTAGATGAATGGTAAATGCAAATCTGGGACGACCCAAAATTAGTAGCGAAAGGTAAGACTATCCTGTTCTACCGGTATCAGGAAATCATACTTAGGAAACAGCTGTTAATCACAGTGAATGTTGTTATGTCCAGGATAACCTTTGCTGGTGGTGTTTGTTTGTTGTCAGGGTAACCTTTCTAATGATACTTTGTGTTTGCCAGGATCACCTTTGCTGCTGCACGTGACGGGAACTTCCCGGAATTCCTCTCCTACATCCACGTCAAGCACTACTCTCCCATCCCGTCTATACTGTTTCATGTAAGTGGTGGGAAGTACTTCCTTCACGATCTGCAGCTGTCACTTCTATCGTTCTTCATCTCAGTGTTTAGTGCTAGTTCACAGAGCGGAATGTGGAAGTGAATTAAGCACCTTATCAAGTTAGGAGCATTGTTCGTATATGTATAAAGACCACTTGTGCAAATGATATACCGTTCAGATTATCAAGCCACAATAGCAATACTCGACCTTCCTTCACATTAAAAATAGATCGGTTCAATGTTGAACACTAAATTTCATAAATATGACAAAATAGTGTCTCGATTCACTTGCAAACGTGCCATGAAAGGACCATGCAAATGGTGCAAAATTACTGCAAAAGAAAAGGTCATGAATATTGCGAATAATTGTACCATGTTAGTCGGCGTGTTTGTGTCTCTGGGTCCCTGTAAATATTGCGACGACGCATTACTCCCGGATGTCTCTGGGTCCCTGTAAATATTGCAACGACTCATTACTCCCGGATGTACAGTGTCGTGGTCGTGGGGCTATACTGGCACACGATGCTTCAGGAATACTCCTGGATGTTGGCCCCCTTATGTCGGGAAGAACTTACAGATAGATACATGCCGCCGTCAGCAATATGGGTGACAGCGATCCAGTGCCCCACACTCAATATACAAGTGAATTAAAGACACACATGGAATCGAAAGTCTATAGACGGGGTAGTAAAATAGAAACTACATGCTACCGACGAATACAATCGCTTATAGCAAACAAATGGGATCAAGTTGAACAGTTCTGAAAACCCTTCTGTGTATTCCACCAGATATTCTTTGCCGTCATCATGGTTCTGGGATCCAGCATCATGTCGTTGCTGAGGTTCCTGTCCTTCCTGGCGTGGTTCTTCTACGCCCTCAGTGCTGTCTCAGTCATTGTCCTCAGGTTCACGAGGGAGAGGGACCCACACAGAATCAAGGTAATGGTGAATGTACCTGACCATCCACACAATCAAACCATATTCTAATCGTCAGTCGCAGACATGTATACATCTAGGATCCGGCGCACAAGTGTAAATGTTATCTAATAGCTATGAAGGGTTGTTTTCCTTAACATCCATGATACAATGAACAAATCTGGTTAAATTGCCGAAATCTCTCACATATGGCGGCAAGATTGCTCATTCCGCGTTATGCAACAATCACTCACTTCGTCACTGTTTCTTTATTTGTGGGTTGTACCTGACCACTCTGGGTTTGTTCGTTCTTCAAGCTGATACACTGTATGTAACAGAAATAATGTTCACGCCCGCCTTCTTCACTTTCCCCAGATTCCAATGGTAAACCATGTGCTGTTCCTGCTTGTGTCGGTGTTCCTGGTGATGACGCCCATCATCGACTATCCCCGGATCGAGTTCCTGTATGCTGTAGTGTTCTGTGTAGGGGGACTTGTCTTCTACATACCTTTTGTACACTACAAGTTGAAGCCGCGTTTCCTAGGTAACAAGACATCTATAGTCCTAGATACTAGGCATTCGGGAAACATGTAATTATTTATGCATTATTCAACACATGGTCACTCAGGATTCTAAACGAACGAGCATGATCCAATTAACGAAGAAGTTTGTTAAACAAGTTTCATATTTTCACGGTGGTTCTAATGGTCTCTGAATGATTTACCAAACTGACGGTTAGTGACGACGGAAACAACACTGAACGGTAAATCATGACAAAGTTAATAGATGGGGTAAGGTTTACGTTTGTGATCGGATTCACGGGAGTATAATGTTCTCAAGCGAACAAATATAGAAACATTTAGTTCCCCACTGAGTGCTTGGGTACATTGTTTGTACTTGAATAACAACCGTTATTGTGACATGGTTTCATTTCAGACACATTCGAGATGTATATGCAGATGTTCCTAGAAGTTGTACCAAGTCCTCCAGAGGAGAGTTAAAATGGCGTTTAACGTCAAATGAAGATGACTGCCGTTATACAGCTTGTGAGTGTTTGGGTGTGTCCAGACTGATGCTGGTGTTCAGTGCCAGCCGACTAGGATTGCATGCTGCTGGTGAACATGGTCGCCTCTCTCGGACACAGTATACTGAGCCAGCAAGTCCTTTCATGCCTTGAATGTCGAGCGCCACACGGCCCCTGTACATAGACTAGTGCCAAATGAATGCTGTGTTATAACCGTCCTTGCATAATCCCCCTTGTTACATATATACATACATCATATTAAAAGAGAAACATATATTTGCAGTACCCGGTGTTGAAATTGTATTTTGATACTTCTGCGAAGAAGGAGCAGATCATTTTGTACACCGTTTTTAGTAGAACGAATGGTTGGAAATACTAAAATGCAAAATGGACACTTCCTCACTCTTGTGTTGCTGAAGATGAGTTTCTACATGCCAAGTGGATATTCTGTGTTCCGTAAAGATCGATGCTCATGAGCCTTGATCATTACCGCTATAAATGTATACCACATAAACAATTGCCTTCACCCAGAACCAATTACAATCTCATCATACAACGTGACGGTGATGATCTATTATGTGATTGTATGACGCTTCAGTCTAACGTATGCCGCAATTACCTCCCCTTCATGATATTTTTCCGTTGTCTAAAATCCCACTCAATCTGAGTTAGGGCATCATTTTTTTATATGTGTTTCACGTTGCCACCAAATTCTGAACGTGGGTCGGTCGATCGGTGAAAAAAACTTATAAAAAAACTTAATAAAGACAAGAGTGCTCGTGATTCTCATGTGTTGTACTTGTTACTACAATTTCTCGCGTTCTCTGGACTTCAAACTTGTGGCAGCGACTGTGAGGAAGGTAAACAACTCACCTTAAATATCTCGGATAACACCTATTAACATATTAATTAAATATCTGATAATTAAATCCATGTAGATCAAGATCGAGAGAGAGAGAGAGAGAGAGAGAGAGAGAGAGAGAGAGAGAGAGAGAGAGAGAGAGAGAGAGAGAGAGAGAGAGAGAGAGAGAGAGAGAGAGAGAGAGAGAGAGAGAGAGAGAGAGAGAGAGAGAGTCAAATAATAGCTGATGACATGTAGGATATGTTGGATTTACAATATAATATTCAGGCAATGATTTTCTCAAATCTGACAAAAAAGGACATATTCAACAGAAATGATTGGTATACAATACGTTTGGGAAATGAACATATTAATTCAAACCATGTCTGTTGATCTATTGATATTTTACAATTGTTATTATTTTGTCTAGTTTGAAATTTGATAGCTGGGGACGTAAAATATTTACCGCTTTCTGGATATGACAAAGTTTTTTTGTGTTATATACCATGACCCACTGCATGAGAAATGAACACTCAAATATTTGTAATCAGACACAATTTCTAGTTTGGTATCATTAAAATAATGTTTTTCGCATTTCTTTAATCTACGGCCTTTCCTGAAAACCACACATTTAGTTTTACTAATATTGACAGTTAAATACCATCTTTACAATATGTTGATAAATTATTCAGTCCTTTTTGTAAACCTCGGACAGTGCTATCAAGCAGTAACATATCATCGGCGAAGAGTAACATGAAAAGCCGACAGACACCATGGTCAATGCATCTATCTTCATCAACACCAAGAAATTCAGTAATATCATTAACATACAATGAAAATAGCAATGGTGATAGTTGGCAACCCTGTTTTATTCCGCTCACACAGTCAAACAAGTGCGTGTAGCCACCTTGCAATAATATACACAATTGAACATTTGTGTACATATTTCCAATTAATCTAACAAAATTACCTTTGACATTGCCAGTCCAAAGTATATACATCAAACTTGTTCTATTGATGGAATCCAATGTAGCTTAAAGATCAACGATACAACAGTATATTGCCCTTATATAAAGAGAAATATTAGAGAACAGTGTCTCTAACACAAATGTATTGTGCTTGAATTGAATGAGTTTATAGAGTTCATAAATTTTAAAATGTTATCAAATTACGATGACACTACTCCCAATTTCAAATTGGATATGAGGGTGATACTTCAAAATAGACCAGATGTTTGTTTTCGTTTTCGTCTGCTATGCGCGAAGCAAACATCATGGTCGGTCTGTTGTCAAGGGTCATAACTCTGATATTTTTTTGTGCGGTAACATTTTATATGACGAGTCGGTACGTTCTAGGTTCGAGTCGGCGGTGTTGGCATGAAAAAATTTAAAAAAAATTATTTTTGGTCGGCGGTAAAATTAGGGTCGGTCGGGCGATGAGAAACACAAAATAAAAATTCTGCCCTTTTAAAAGACGGGAGGAGAACACACAGTATTCATAGGTGTGTACATGCTACTGATCATCAATTGTTACATGTTAAACTAGATTTTAAGGACGATTGTTCGGGAAAGGGTGTTGAGGGTATTAGGTTGTACATATTTCATTTGAAAAAAATATTTGTGTTTCAATTCCCGCGCAGGACCAACAATTGACATGTTCACGTGTTTACTGTGAAATAATTTTGTTACATGATTAATCAAAGTATGGAAAACGAATTGAGTTAAAATCAGTCAACTTCACATGCGTGAATCTCACATTCATCTTTATAAATGAGTTTTATGATAAAAACACTTGATAAAAGAATTATATATTATTCTCTTACTTCATTTCCGAGAGTGAACGAGATGGGGACGGATTTAATACCTCTCGTGAATTCAGGAAATTCTATATTATCTTTCATTACACTTTTTGACCAGCCCCCCTGAATGGTGTTTAAGCACAGTAGTCAACTTGATTACTTGTACACTGACCAAAGGTTCCTGCTTCACTTGAGTGAGTGAGAGTAAATGAGTGAGTGAGTTTTGTTTTACGCCGCTTTTAGCAATATTCCAGCACACATTGTACCCATGTGGGGGATCAAACCCGGGTCTTCGGCGTGACAAGCGAACGCTTTAACCACTAGGCTACCCCACCGCCCCCTACTTCACTTGAAATGAACATCATATACATATCAATTTATATCACTTCAATAACTGACAGCTTGACATATGGGTATGCTAATCGGCTCGTGTCATATGCCTACAGGGTGTTCATATACATTCTCGAGATGTCGATTACAAGCGGCGCTTTATGCATGTCGTCTGAAGGATTTCGCGGCTAGTCTACCGTGATGGAGACGCCCTCTTGCTATAAATCAGCGCAAATTAAATTCTAATTTAAGAAAAACTGTGAAATCAAATACTTTGACACTTATAACGGAATATTCGTCTGGTGTTGTGTTTTAAAGGGACAAAAAGAGCAATATCTGGAGATTTATGACATATTCGGTGATTTGTATTGAATAGTATTCGTTAAAACATAAATACAGCGTAAGTAAGGTAATAATGACTCACAGTGATGCACATTTTGAGCAGATGGAAAGGAAGAATGGCACGCATATTTGACAAAAATATTCCAAGCGGTGTAATGAAGAATGATTTCCTACTTAATAATCAGCTTGTCTTGTACGACTAAACATTTTCTTCTTATTACGTTGCACTGAAAACGTGGGGGAAAACATGAAAATAAGTCATAATTAGTCAATTTCTACATTATTACTTACGTCTATAGCCACACAGGGTTATTGTTCATACATAAACAATATATAACAATCATCCTATACATGCATATATGCATATGTCGTTTATCCCCCCCACACACACACACACATATAAACATGTAGATTGTCCATAAACATACATGTAAGTATATTATTAGCATTACATATTTTACATTACACACACACACACACGCACGTGCATACATCAGACGGTTACCTACTCCACTATATATTGATTTAGTACATACATACACATTATATATCAAAACAAGTTTCATCTTGTGCCAAAAGCATGGAACTTGAACACATTTTGAAACTGTGTAGTAAATAAATTATACCAGTTTTCGGACCATTTCAAAGTTCGGAGATGCAAAAAATACCCCCACGCAAAACCCCAGTCCATTTAGTGACCTTCTCATTCCGAGCCAAGCCCAGTTTTATGGTCCGAGCGAAGGGCGAGCACTGACTAACGGGACATACCATCTCCCACTACACAAAACTGTCCTGGCAACTGTTTCTGGACAGAGAAGCATGCAGACCTTCAGGTTGTACAGGCTTTAAAACAGCGGACACCTGCGTCTTGACCCTGATTTAGCTACGGAGGACAGCAACTGACCACTGTCTACAAACAGCCATGGTAAACACGCTCTTGTTCGCACGTCTTAGAGATTAACGTCTCATTCGGTTATATAAAGAGAAGGCAACTCATCCAATTAGGACGGCTGTTAAGAAATATAAAATTAAGACTTGTTGATGTTGAAATGATAAAAGGACGGGTAGATATTTTGCTTCTCACAGTTGCACCCTTTGAGCGGCCAGGGTCCACCAATCACTGTTTTGCTTCTCAAAGTTGCACCCTTTGAGCGGCCAGGATCCACCAATCACTGTTTTGCTTCTCAAAGTTGCACCCTTTGAGCGGCCAGGATCCACCAATCACTGTTTTGTGTTTGAATAATGGTCTGTTTGCGCCATAATGCGCTAGTGGAGGTTTAAACAGTATTCCACTAAGGTCACGGATCCTGGAGGAAAGTCCGAGGTAATGCGGATGTTAGACGTTTGTCACGCTGACGAAACCAAATCCCGGGTACGCCGCTCACAAGTCTATAAAACTGATTGGTGCGGACTGGGATTTGAACCCGCTCTCCCAGATTTGTAGCGTCGTTGTCATGATCATTTGCGACCTGGGCCTTGATTTTCGAAGCTCTCTTAGCGCTGAGATTGTTGTTAATGTATGGCACTTACGACTATTTTTGCGCTAAGAGAGCTTAAACAATATAGACCCTGCATGTCCACTCACGTCATGTTGAAAAGGGTGTTCCTAATATAATCAAACTGAATTTATAGCACATCTAGTATATCTTTATATATTGATCATGTG